CTCGGAGCTGCTCTCTATCCACTCATTTCTTCTACTACCTGAGCCAGGGCAATAACTCCAAACCAAAAAACCTGTTCCAGTTGTTGGGTGAAGGCACAGGGAGAAATCTCTTCTCCACCAAGACAGATGCTTTGAAAACCTTCAGGACCAACGTGTATCCATTGCTCCTTAGCAAAGCTGTTTCTGGCACATTATACATCCATTATTTCACCCTGCAGCATTGTACTCCTCTGTAAGAGCAAAACCAGTTATCCCTATAACGTTTTTCCATTTATTACAGCCTGGAGATTTGAGGAGAGTTTAGCCAAGGGTTGCTGGAGTTTAAAGGCATTTTGAGAGATTCTGCAACTGAAAGCAAATACTTTAAACTTGCCTTCTTTATACTGACTTTTCTTTACTGCGTTTCCATGGAAAAGCAAGCTGAAAAGACAGAAGGTAGCTTTCAGGCCCACTTGGGTATAGGCCCTGTAGCGATGTGTTAAAAATGGCCTAGAGTTGGTATTATGCTCTCATTACCCCTGGAAGATGGGCCAGTTATATAGGCACCTCTGGAGAAGAAAAGAGTCACTGTTAATGCTCTAAGCCTTTTCTTTCTAAAGCTATACTTCACAGTTATTGTCCACAAAAGGAGGCAAGGACAGCATGTGAGAAGATCTAAAAGTTCAGCAGCTTGGTAAGAGCAAGGTCCGGATAGTTGTTGGAAATCGTCTTGCGCATAACAAATAAGAACTTACTCTTGAGTCACCTCAACAGGGAGACAAAGGCCAGACCATGAAAGACCTTCGTAGAGATATCCGTCTAAGGCTTGGTAACTAAGAGCTAATAGAGAGTTGCAAGACTCCCCTCAGGTTTAAGATGTGTTTATAAAATAAGCTTTATTCTTAGAAAGTTATCTCAAAAAGCAGAAGTAAAACACTTCATACCTGACACTGCTTGGCACTAGTGTCATGTCTTTGAGGCTGTCCAGTGCTGTGTGCCTTGATTTGCAGTGAAGGCAGTCATGTTTATGGGAATGGAGAAGAAGGAACAACCCTAGATGCTCTGAACTCTGCAGAAAAGGCCAAAATATGTGACACAGAAAGAATTTGTTTGCCAATCTTATGATTTTTATGGGAATGGAGAAGAAGGAACAACCCTAGATGCTCTGAACTCTGCAGAAAAGGCCAAAATATGTGACACAGAAAGAATAATTTGTTTGCCAACCTTATGATTGGGGGTATTTCTTCAATGTTTTTCTCTGTGTGTGTGTGTAAATTTGGCTGATCTTTTTTTAATTTTATTTTTAATTCCCTTTGCTCTTTTAGGTATTCATCAGGACATTAGCCTATCCTCCTTGGATATTTGACTCTGAAGAAATAGCCTCTGTCGAGGTCATTTACAGAGATGTTAAAAAAAAGGCAAATGAATTCAGTGGGGGTGTCAGTGATGAAGATGACAGCGATGACAGTGACAGTGATGCCACAAGTAATCATGGCTATGCGAGGCGTGATATCATCGGCAGAGTACCTCATTCCTCTGCAACGCCAAAAATATTCATGCCGTACTCAGTTACAAATAGCACACGTGATGACAGCAGCAGCCAGGTGAGTGAAAATCCAGACACTGACCCAGAAGATTTTGAAGAGCCCGAGATGGACATCAAAGAAGGCAAAGACACAGGTAGAGAGTTACTTAATCCTTTCTCTGAGGTGAATTGTAACTACTCTTCTACACGAAGGAACAGTGCCTGCTTTACCATTAACTTAAAAACTGTGCAGTTGGGAGCTTCCGAAGAGAACGTGGATAGTTCTACAGATCTCCTCTCTTCCCAAGAAGATGCAGTTGACTGGCAGTGTACTCATGTTTTTGAAGCAAAACTGGATGACACAGAAAGTGTGCAGAAACCAGGCTGTCCGAACGGCTCTCACGAATGGCAACATTCCCCTCGTTCTTCCGATGAAAGTGACTCGTCCGATTCAGATGTGGACCAAAATACTGAATACATAAGAAGATGAATAAGTGAGAACCACTATTATTTTATAACATACTCATCTATATTGTCCAACTTCATTTCTGGACTCCACATGCAGATCTCCGCTTTGTCTTTTTTTTTTTTTTTTTTACATTCAGCGAGTGTATGCCTGAACGCTGAAAACACGCAATGCTCGTTTTCTAACAAATATTTCTCTGATCTCTCCAGGTGTGGTTCAGGTTGGATTATCCACAGAGGAAAAAAAGTGACCGTTCACATGCAGCAGAAAGAGTAGTGATTTCGTTTTGTAGTTTGTAACAGCTAAAAGGTACAATTCACTATCAAAGTCAGTCTTTTCTGTAACTCAAGGCAGAAGTGAGTTTGTAGTACAGGGACTTGCGAGGGGCTGGTCTCTTCAACAGACCACCTTTTCTATTTGAAAGGACTCTGCGGTTATTCTTTACCTCTGCTGATGGATTACTCTGAAACCTGTTTTGCTGGATGGATTTCTACATTCAAGTCGGCGGACTGGTTTCTGCATTCATGCAGAGAAAGCTGATCAAGTGAAATAATGGGGGCAAAGATAGGAATGCTCAGCTTACAAAAAGAGTTCTTACTGTGAATCGAGGCATTAGACACACCTTTCTATAATTTTTTTAATGTAATTTTGTGAAATTATTGAATACTACACTTTTTAAAAAATATTTTTTATGACATTTAAGTTACTGCAGTGTACAATTTAACTTTGTGCTTTGTAAAAAGAACACTTTTCATACCGCTCTCTGAATTTTTCTTGTGGCTCTTCCATGCCTTTGAAAAGCAATGTGAGTTAGCCTGCTAAGAATTTACTCCTTATGGGAAGGCTTCTGAGTATGACACAGCTGAAAAAACTTTATTCACCTTGTGTTGATCTGCTAAGGTGCTGCTTTTCCACCCACGAGCAGCTTCTGGCTGCCATGGCCAGCCGTCATTCTTCCAGTCAGGATAGCAGGGAGTAATTTCTGAGGTGCTGGAAATATATTCTTCGGCTGTGCCGAGTATCTCACAGCTTGGATCTTGACAAGTTAATTATCTGCAGATTTACACATCTGTAGAATTAGCGGATGAAACACGGGCACTGACCCCGCGAGGCTCCGCTGCTTGTGCGGCGCAGCTGGTGTGCACCTCTCCAGCACTGGGAGCCGGGGAATGGCCCACACCTAAGTGAAGGCTGTCACAGGGAACACCAAACCTGCCTTGTAGCCTCGTTTAATAACAGGAGGTGATAAATGGGCCAGAAACAAATGGATTAACACGCACACACCCCCAAAGAGTGGCAAAAGTAATAATCCTTTGAATAATAAAACTGTTTCCCCTTCCTGCTCCTTTCCCATCCCCAAAGTGTATGCTGGTGTTGGTCAGGGGGGCCGAGTGTTCTGGTCGAAGGAAGGACATTGGCCTCTTCGGTGCAGGCTGGATCCTGCAGTGGGAAGGTAAACCTTTCCTCGGGTAATGTTTACTGCCTGCAGGGGGAAGTGGGCTCGACATCAGGTGTGACACTGCACCACCGGACGGCTGTGTGTGCGTGTGTCTGCCCCCTGTGCTGCCTTTCCACCTCCTGTCTGTCTGCCCGGCTGCCGGGTTGGAATATCCCCTTTGTGAGTATCCAAGCAGCCGGGCATCACCCATCCGCTTCGACACACAGCACCGCTCCATAGCTTTCCGAATCTGTGGGGAAGGGTACGCTCCTGGAAAGGGGAATGAATGCAGC